ACCAAAACTTTGCCACGCAAACCCAATACAAGGTTATAAATGGATCTCATCAAAACAGGAGAAACAAAGGAGCATACATCTGAAACATTGGCAAGCTTCCTCTTCTACTAATTGCTTTTGGAGGGGAGGGATATGCAAATAAAGCTTGCACCATCCTCCAAAGGAACACGGTGGCATCTCTTGCTTACAGCTTACAAGTGTAGTGTTATAGGAAGAGGAATCTCCCTGTCTCTGAAAGTGTGGGACATGGTTAAGAGGCTCAAGGTAGACTCAGAAGCAGCCTAGGAGGTAATAGTGTTGAGCTGAGAACAGCAGCTGGTAGCTACTGTTCCCATGGCTTAGCTAGTGGAGCTGAAGAAACAAGCAACGTGCTGCAAAGCAAAGGGAGTAGAAAACTTAACCCAGTCTACACAAAGTGTCAGCAGATGGAATCGGTGCCTTGCAGAGGCTCTGGGTTCTGCTCCGTAGTAGCAGCAATAGTGTGTCCAGCATCTCCAGGGTTCACAAGTGGAGCGTGTGTTTCAGGCCTTAGAGACACATTTTCTGTAGGGAGAAGTTTACTTATAAGAACATGTATGTGAATTTAGTGGCCTGTCTGTGTGAATGCCTTACTGAGGTGGGACTGAGCAAACCTGTGTAAAATACCTGCCTCTGTAAGAGCACACTGCATGGCTGCAGGCTGGTCTTGACTCTGGGCAGGAGAATCACTGTGCACCCTCTGCAGCAAACTTGCTCTGTTGTGTTCATTTGATGTGCTCAAAACTGCTCTGCTGGCTGCTTTCCTATGGTCCCTGGCTCTACTGATCTGTTTACTTAGGTGTCCTTTCTTTCTGAGGCCACAGGCTCTTGCCATTCCCTGCCTGTTTGGTGTTCTCAGGTACTTCTCTGACAGTAAAGCTGCCTTTTCTTGTGGTCCATATCTCCTCTGAAAGACACATTTTGTCATGATGGAAGGAAAGGCAGGAACCCAGCCTCCGTTAGGTCACATCTTTAGTTTTAGTGACTCTCTGGCATGTGGTGAGCTGAAGTTTTTCTGGCCACAGAAAAGTGGGTGGCCGGAGCTCCTGGGGTGTGGGAGAGGGTTTATGGGGATTACTGGGAAACTGATTGCAGAATACAGCGACAGCCTCTGTCTTGTACACGTTCCTCTCACTATCCCATGCATTTTGGAGTTGTCTGCACAGTTCCTGCATTCAGGAACTTGGGAAAGAAGTCCCATAGGCAGCAGTCTTCACTGCCACGTGGAAATGATGACTGAGGCTTGTCAAGGTGTGCCTTTAAAGTGAAGTGGCTTGTGTTGATCCAAACCTGTCTCACAGGCAGCTCCTTCGTAGATTCTCATGCTCTTGTCTTTCAAGGCACTATGTCAAATGCACATCAGATGTGTTTAGCACTTCAGTTTTTTAGCACAAAGTAAGTGGGTTGCAACTTCAAATCAGCGGACAAGTTGTAAAGGTGAAAGATTCCATGTGAGGTGAGATGCTATCAAAGTCTGCCTTCGAGACGTGTTGACCTCTTGTTTCAGGTCAAGTCCTCACAACCCTTCTGCAGCATCTGACCTCTCAACTTATTCCACTGCCTCTCTGATCAGTAATGAAGAACAGTTTGAAGACTATGGGGAAGGAGATGATGTGGATTTTACTCCCAGTAGCCCATGCCCTGATGATGAGACCAGAACGAACGCCTACTCTGACCTTGGCTCATCTGTATCTTCCAGGTTGCTCCTTATTCATTAACAAACAATTTTTCAGTTTTGTTCTTCTCTGAGCTGGGTGACCATTCCAGAGTTTACACTGGTTACATACTCACCTTAGAAGCAAAATGTTATCAGTTCATTTTCTGCCCTCCAGTTGATAATCAGAGCTGTAGAAAATACATTGTTTCTGATAACCTCTGTTGGGTTCTGTTGAAATAACTGGGCTGTTTTGCTTGTAGTGATTTCTCTCTGTTGTAGACAGTGGATTTCACAGTTAGGGGCTAGTACTGGAAGTTACGTGCTGCTTGGTTGGGGCTATTGCATCAGCCCAGATGCAGTGGAGAGAAACCTGCAAGAGAGCTGGTTTTCTTTAGTATTCTGACACTACAAATCCTTAGCATTAACCTGTGAGGGGAAGTGCTGTATGTGGACAGGGGTTTGTTTGAAATAAACATCCATGTTGACTTTGAATGTCTTGGAGAACATAAGCAAGTAGCTACTGTCTGTTAGGATCTGGAAATGCCACTACAGTTTCCTGGATGTGGCCTCAGTCTCTGTAGCTCTTATGTCCTGTGACCAAATCGGTTGCTGATTTTAAGGTCCTTCCCCAAGCAAGGGAATGGGTGAGCAGGGTTGGGGAAGAGCCAAGCGTGAAGATGCTCTAGGATTTGTCTGTTTGGGTCAAGAACACATGAAGGTCTTGTGCTTCATTGCTAACACAGGACAAACTGACTGCATCTCTCTGTTCCACATGCAACCCCCATGTGCTGCCCTCTGTTCCAAGCACTTCTGCAGTCCAGCCTTGCCACCTCTGTCATGCATGCAGAGCCAGCACCCCTCTCCACTGCCCCTTCATGATGATGGCTTGTGTCCTTCATCCCGTTTCCTCAGGTTTACGCAGCCCTTTCCATTCCCATTCCTGGGGCTCTGTGCACTTCATGTCATGATTGCTCTTTTTTATTTGAGTTTATTTTCTCTCTATCATGCCAAGAGCTCCTGTTCTCTCCTCTTCAGACATATTTCCCCTTCTCCCTTCCTCCTCATTCTAGGGTTCCTTCCGTCCTACCATCTAATGGGGTTCATGTGGCTTCTTACCAGACCACCCTGTTTTTCATATTCTTGTCTTTTTCTTGAAGAAAAGACTCCAGGTTGCATGCCAGGCTCTAGTGGGAAGATGGGCAAGATCAGAGGGGAATGTTGCTGAGGTGGAACATACTAATGTAGCTGCTTTTGCTTCGTGTATCACATAGACTCTGTATACCTCGTGCTGTTCTTTTAGTCACCCAAACTCATCTTTCCACTGGCACTCAGAACATGTCCTCTATAAAGCCTCAACTCAGACAGCTAGACTTGCCCTAAGGCTAGCATTCTCCATCATCACCTCTAAGTTAGGTGAGCTGCAGTTAGAGGTGGTTCCCCAAGACCCTTGTCTGTGGGTCTGACACACAGTCAAGAGGAAAATCTCTTGTGAGTGGGTTACTATAGCCAGTAACATCTCTCCTTTCCTGCAAACAGTGCTGGCCAAACACCCCGAAAAATGAGGCATGTTTATAACAGCGAGTTACTGGATGTTTACTGCTCACAGTGCTGCAAAAAGATAAATCTACTCAACGATTTGGAAGCCAGGCTGAAAAACTTGAAAGCAAACAGGTAAGCAGCCTATTGCACTGCTGTTAGCAGTGCCCCCTTGAAATGGGACTAACTAGTAGCAGGAAGAGAGGAAGAAAGAATCTTCTCCTTCCCTGTATCTCATTCTGTCTTACACACGTAAGAAATCCAGACTTTGACATCTAGCCTGAAACAAAACGCTGTTCTTCATTAGCTAGTAAGTATTTTTCTGACTTCAGGGTGCATACAGTATTAATAAACTCAAATATTTTAACCAATGAGCTCTTGGATTGCAGAGTGAGAGTGATATTTCCAGGAATTTTTCCCAGGAAGTGGGGGCTGCTGGGCTGCTTGGTGCAGATCTACAGTTAGCCGCTGTTTTCTCCAGGTGGGAAGGAGTGATCTGGCAGATCCTTAGCTAATGCATATAACCTTACATACAGAACCACAGAATTGTTTAGGTTGGAAAAGACCTTTAAGATCATCAAGTCCAACCTCTCCCAGAATTATTTGTCAGCAGAGGTTCTTCATTCCTGTGGGATTTTTTTCTTTTATTCTAAAGGGAACTTGGAAAAATGATGGCAAAACTGACTTATGGGGTTCTTTGCAATTTCAGCTTTTTCCTTATATTTCTATCTCTGCCCCTCCATCCACTTCTGAACTGTGCTAAGCACTTGGAAAGAATCCACTGCTTCCAACAATCAACTACAGTTTTGGAAGGAAATTATTTGGTGGGCTTTTAGCTCCCCCTAGAAGCTGAGTGTAAATCCTGCCTGTCTGCGTAATCCTTGGCACAGAGCGCGCTGCACTGCTTCTGCTCTTGCTGACACAGCAGCACAGTACCTGATATGAACAACGTTCCTGCCCTAACAAGGGGTCTGCTGACACCTAGGCCATGACCAGCGAGGTCTTTGGTGATTTTCTGAGTGAGGTTATGTATACCTGTCTGAAAGAGAGCGATGCTCTGACAAAGAGCTTTATGTCTGCGTGCACAGAGATACAACATCCTCTTATCAAGAGATGCAGCTGGATGTTTTGATTTGGTTCTAGTGCTGTTGTCTGGTTCTTCATTTAGATAATACTAGTCTCTGGCTGCAATAGGGAACTGTAAAAATGGAAAATATCTGAGTTCCTGTGCTGAGCCAGGAGGCATAATAGGGAAGGATAAACTAACTGTTTATAAAATAATCTAAAAACTGGGAATCCAGAATAAATGTCCATCACTAACTTGGTGTCCCTTTGTGGTGTTTCTAATGTTAGTTTCGCTGTGATTTACACTGACAAATCACTGCTAAGCAGAATAGTATTCACAAATTGACTTATTAACGATCACAGTAATTTGTGGCTCCACTCATCTTCACATTGCTGGTAACTGCAGCTTTTGATTAAGTTGTCTAAGAATATTGTTCACAGAATAATTGTTTTACTTTACTAAAAAAGGCAATATTATGTTTCATTGTGCAATTCAGCTGGAGTTTAAACTAAGATTGAATCCAACACTGATCAAATAAGTGTTTAATTCCTCTGTCGTTCCCTCTGTATCCATGTAGCCCTAACAGGAAAATATCAAGCACAGCTTTTGGAAGGTAAGAATCTTCAACTTTTTTATCAATACATGTGAAATCAGCTGTAACAATTCCATAAGTGGGGAGAGAAGGAATAAGTTTAGCAAAACAAAAATGTGCCAAGACAAGTTTTCAAAGGAGGGGGCCTGTGTTTGGACGTGGAGCAGGCCCCTGAACTGGAAGGAGTTCTGATAAGAACATAGTTGCTTCCTTGTCCGCCAACTTTCTTCCTTTATGCTGCTGTTCCATCAGTCCAGCTATTGCTTCTTTCACCCTCATAATGTGAGCCTTTTTGTTGTTGTTGTTGCCAAAATGCAAAGGAAAGCAAGAGCATCCCTTTGAAAAGGACATAGAGAATTGTGATCTTCCTTTGACTGAATGGACCAGCCCTGGGCTGGGGAGGGCTGTAAGCTTCAAGAATATTTCAGATGATCTCCAGTATTACATATTCTGACACTATTCTGTAATGGGAACTGCTAGAGATTTTTTTTTTTCTGTTTTTGTAGAAGTTCTTCCTGTATGAAATTTTCTAGATTAACTGTACCAACCAGTGTGCAGTCGTGACCTTATTTTATATTTCTAATAAAACAAAATATAACTCAGTACATAGTGTGAATAAGGCTAAGTAGTTAATTAAACTATGTTAATGCTGGTGGCAGATCCTATCAAAAGCAACAAAGAACTCAGACCCTAGAACTAATGTCACTGATTATGCTCAGTATGACTTCATTTAGCTACCAGTCTCTTGTAAGACTTGTGCTTAAATAGTTGTGGTTGTCACCAAAATGATTGCACAGATTTTTAGCATTGGATCTTCAAAGTACAAAGCCAGGCTATGAGACTCTTTTCTCCTCCATCCTCATCAGGCAAAATAATTATCTTTCCGATCTTTCAGGCAACTCTTTCACAACAGTAACTTCAGCAGCAGTAACGGCAGCACAGAAGATCTATTCAGAGACAGTATAGACTCCTGTGATAATGACATAACTGAAAAGGTGAGAAGCTGTGTTATTGCAGTTAATGTACCCAACAAAGTCCTGCTGGAGACATGTATCAATTGATGGAGCTCTCTTGCTCACAGTTACCAGTGATCTGAAGTAGCTCATTCAAAATGTCCTTGATATTCCATTAATATTACAACTTTGCTTGACAAAAATGCAGGAACTGTGCAGATCCACTAGGCATTGTATTCATACTTCTTTACTGTATATTTGCATTGATAACCTTCAAGGAAGATGCAGCATCTGGGGAACTCAGAATTTCAGAGCTTAATTTTGCTGCTGGCTTTGAAGGGAAGCATGCCTGCTTTAAAAAGGCATAGCTGAATGCCAGTTAGGAACAGGAAGGGGTTATAAGAAGAGAGATTCAAATTCTCATTTCTTTTCTACTTCTCCTTCCAGGTAACGTACTTAGAAAAAAAGGTGACAGAACTGGAGAACGATAACCTGACAAATGGTGACCTAAAGAGCAAACTGAAACAAGAGAACACGCAGCTAGTTCACAGGTACTAAAGCATGGAGCCAGTTCTTTTTATCATGTCGGAGCAGAGCTCGAACAAAGTTGTCGGGCAGGAACATCTCTATCTATAAAATATGACCAAGTCTTCTGCCTTTATGCTGACAGACAAAATAAGGTAGGGCTTCATCTGAGAAGTCCAAGTGGAACAGGCCTGCCTTGCTGAATTCTCAGCAAGCAGATGCCTTCCAAGCAAGTTTTTTACTACAGAGATGTTACTGACTTGTACAGAGCAAGCTCTTCTGTTACAAGAGAGGTTGCCACTGGATTTTTTTCGTGCACATAGCAGGAGCAGAAGGCTGGATCATAGTCCCAACTTTTTGAGACTGAGAGTGAAAGAATAAGAGATGAACTGTTCTACTTAATTCTATGCTATTTGGAAGATTAAATACCAAGAGAGATACTGGGAGAGGTTGAATGCTAAGAGAGATAGTGAAGTGGCATGAAATAAAGGAGTAGGGAGGAAAGACAGAGGCAATGAAGTTGCACGCTTTTTTCCTTTCTTTAAGTACTTGTGAAGCTGTTACTGAAATAAGATCTGGTTTACTTAGAGTTCATGAGCTAGAAGAACTGTTGAAGGACCAAGAGACATCAGCAGAACAGACTCTGGAAGAAGAGATCAAGAGACATCGAGAAGCATATAGCAAATATGAAAAAGAGAAAGGCACCGAAATTGAACTGCTAAATACAAGGTAACAAACATCTTGGTGTCACCCAGAACACAGTACAACTTCTTCTTTTCTTCATCTTTACTTCGCATGTAAACATAGGCTGTTCACAACCAGGCAGTGTGCAGATGGTTACAGGTTAGTAGTTCTATCAAGTAGCTGTGCAGTTGCATGTCTAATGCCCAGAAGCTTGGAGAATGCTTTACATTAGTGCTTTAATCCATGTGGCCCATGTAGGCAGCTTAACTGGATATTTGGCATGGATTCAAGGAGAGAATTGTGACCAGCTGTACCAAACGCTTGTGTCTGTTTATTTCTTCCTACTTAATTCTTTTTAGATACATGTTGTTAGGAGCATAAGAATCTGAGGGTCAGTGTAGCACTTCTGGCCCTGAAAACAAACCAAAAAGTACCCAATAGCTCATGATAAAAAATGCAAAGATTAGGAAGATTTTCTTGTTTGGTCTTTCTGTCAAGTGCAGGTGAGATGGCTTTTTAGAGCGTGCCATTTTGCATGTCTGCATTCTTGACAAGGCATTTGCTGTAAGATTTTTGTTATTGACACAGGGTTCAGCAACTGGAAGAAGAAAATGGTGAGCTGAAGTGTACTGTCACACGACTGAAATCACAAACGGAGAGATTAGATGAGGTAAGAAAACTCCTGAGTGCTTGAGCAATTTAACAGCAGCTTGATTTGTGTAAGAGCAAACTCATATAGTGATTGGCCCAGCTTCTTTAACTTGCCTTCCCTAAACAAGAATGTTGGTGGAATTTGAACACTGGTCACTTTTAATGGCCGGAATGCCCCGAGACATGTGCCAGCTTATGACCAGCTGCATCTATAGATCTGTGTTGTAAAACTGAAGGTGGTTCACACACTTGCAAGCCAGCTATTAAATTTCCCATTTATTTTAGGAAAGGCAACGCATGTCAGATAGGTTGGAAGACACCAGCCTGCGACTGAAGGACGAGATGGATTTGTACAAGAGAATGATGGACAAGCTGCGGCAGAACAGACTAGAATTTAACAAGGAGAGGGAAGCAACACAGGAGGTAGGTGTGAAGGGGGGTAAAAGACCAGGCACTTGCATCTCATCTGCATGGAAGCCCACCTAAAAAAGAATAGACAGACAGGATGAACACTGAAAATACAACATCCAGTTAATGTATTGCTGATTGTGTTTCTGTGGGCAGGGTACCCATAGGGCAATGGATGCTGCAAGAATACCTAATGCATGGCAATCCCTGACCCAAAGGGTTTACAGCTCTTTGGGAACTTGCAGCCTTGAATGTGTGCCCTAACATTTCCTTTACTAAGTTTGCAAGAGGAATTATGCCTCTCGGACATGAAGCTTAGAGATCAGAGCCACTTCCAGCTCTGAAGCAGTTTAAGTGACCTGTGCTTCCATAGAAGAGTGAGTGGCTGTATCGTCCAGCCTCAGCCAGGCTCACGCAGCACGTGTGTCAGAGCACAGAGGTGGCTGCCAGGGAGGGCTGGTTTTGCAGGGGCTGGAGAAACATGGCCTGCTTGCATGCCCACAGCTCATTGAAGACTTGCGGAAGGAACTGGAGCACTTGCAGCTGTACAAGCTGGAATGTGAGCGTCCTGGACGTGGGAGAAGCTCTTCATCCAGCGTGAGTGAATTCAACGCCAAAACCAGAGAGGTGGAAATGGAGCATGAAATAAAACGGCTGAAGCAGGTGAGCATGAGACCCACATGGTATCTGTCTAGGGCTTCTTTGCACAGACGATGTAAATTGTGCATAGGAAACGCCTCTGATTCCTGTCACTGGTGGTAAGAGAGTTGCTGTTAGCTTGCAGCATTACCATATGTCATCCAAGCTACCTGTGATTTAAAAAGATATTTTTTAGTGAAAACTTGTATGAAGAACTTAAAGCAATGTCTTTTCATCCTTAAATAGGAGAATCAGAAACTTCGTGACCAAAATGATGATCTTAATGGACAGATCCTAAGTCTTAGTCTTTATGAAGCTAAAAATCTCTTTGCAACACAAACAAAAGCCCAGTCACTGGCTGCTGAAATTGATTCTGCATCAAGAGATGAGGTAATACGCTTTTTTAATCAAGTACTTAATCCAAAAATATGCGGTTTTCAGTGTAATTAACTGTCAAAGTTGAACTATCTGAAGCTGACAAATGAACAACACAAAAATCTGCTTTGCTAGGGGTTCAGGAGTGTTAGATTGCCTTAAATCTAACTGCTTTTGAGTGCTCCTTTTAATATTAACTCTTCTATTTGTCTCAAAAAAATCTGAATTATTAGAATCTCAATGAACTGTAAAGAGTTGTAAAACAGGTAGAACAATTGTGCTATTCTGACATTAATTTCATACAGACATTACCATAGCTAGTTACTTAAATTCTTACTTTCTGTCCTAGATTTATTTCTAAGTTACTTCAGTAATAAGCTCTTGCTTCCATCTAAATTTGAGCTATATATTCCCTGTAGCAGAGCTGAATTCTTGGAGGAAGGAGGTAGTGTGCAAGTAATGGAGGATGGATTGGTGTGTTGGATGGGGAATTTGTTTCCAATGACTTGCCAAAAGATCCCTGGTGAGGACTGTTCACCACCTTCCTTAATAGTAAAGATATTTACCATACAGATCGTTTCTAATAGAGATACAGGGAGGAGCCAGAGGCAGAATACCTATCACAAAAGGGAATTGGTGGTCCTGAGCAGGTGCTCGTCTCTCACCTGTCTGAATTTCATGCTATTATGTAAACTAGTGAGACTGTTTTCAAGAGTTAACTTTGAAATGTTGTGTTTCAGCTCATGGAAGCCCTTAAAGAACAGGAAGAGATAAATTACAGATTGCGACAGTATATGGACAAGATCATTTTAGCAATCCTAGACCACAACCCTTCTATTTTGGAAATAAAGAATTGAAAACAATATAAGAAGAAAAAGCAGCAACTGCCTGATATTACTGCACATGCCACTGGATCTAAACAACACTCTGATACTGTAAATTAATCTATAAATATATATATATATATACACTATGTGTGAGTGTGGGTGCGCGGGTGTGTTTATATGATGTTTGGTACACTGTTATTTGTCATTGAATTGGCTTGGTTAGACTTTTTCCATGCACTTTCAATACCTGTGAGAAGATGGATACTGTATATTAATGTAATAACAATATAACTGGATCATGCTGTTTTAGATACTGGAAAAAATGACTCTACCTCTAGTTATAAAAGGTAAAAAAGACAATGGAAACATATGGATGTGGCCCTAACTTTAGGAGCAAGAATTGTTCTTAAGTTCTTCCAGGAATTTGGGTACTACAAACGAATTAACATACCCAGGTTCAGTTCCTGACTGGTGCTGACTGTGCAATTTCCTATTTGATTTTGTTTTAATACTTAAACCACACATAGGATTTAAAAAACAAAACAAAACAAACCTTTGGGGGAAGGAAAGACACAAAGTAAAAGGGAAGAAGGGGAAGATATTGTGGAATTGTTGCTATTTGTGAAAAATCACCATCCACTTGTTTGCCACTGTCAGCACGAAGTGCTTTTTCTGTAAGATCACTTTGGAGCCTGCTTTGGGCTGTTCTGAGCCAGCCTGCTCTCTAGCATGTGTGCACATGTGTATTTTTTTATGCCAGGGTCCCTGTAGCATTAAGGCTAAGAAGCTCTTTAAATAGCTTCCCTTATTTTCAGGGGTTTATCATGAGCCATTAAGATTAATTCTGGGATCCTGCCCCTTCCCCTTACTCTTAATTTTAAAGATTTCATTGAAGGAACAAATTCTAGTTCTTAAAAAAAATTAAAAAAAAAAAAAAAATACATGAAATAACTCCCTTCAGGGGGAGGAGGAGCTGCCCTTGAAATTACCAGTTGAGTTGCTTTCCCACTGCAGGTTGACACTTTGTGGGCAGGCTGTGGAGAGGACTGGCTGGGTCCTAACACAGTGGTGGGAAGAAGTCTGATGTGGAGTGACTTTTACTTATAGGGCAGTAAAAAGAAGAAGAGCTTGGTCTTGCAGAAGTTGCCCATCCAGACTGAGTACACACATACATATCTAAAGCTCTGAATAGGGAACACATCCTGTTTTAGATGAACAGTTGTGCAGGTGCTTAACTTTAAATATGTGCTGTGACCGCTCATGGAAGTCAGCGGGACAGGACACAAACTTGCTTTAAAGTTGGGTGTGTGCTTAAATGCTGCCTTAAATAGGGATGGACTTCAACATGTGCCTGTGTTCTCCTGAGCTGGAGCTGTGTACTGTAGGGCTAGGACCTTTTTAATTAATAATGTAGCTTATATAAGGAGCTTATGGAATTGTTTGGATAGTTGAATGCTAAAAAAAATAATAATAATAATTATTCCATGCACTTTTTTAAAAAGTAAAAGTTTCACACTTTTTATTCACACCAACTGGCACAGAAAAATAGGCTCAAGTATCCAACTTCCCCAGTGAGTAGAGATGTTTCCTCTGTTGAATACACACCCCAGAAGAATGTGACAGTAGCAATGACTGTGCTTCTCTGTGTATTTCTTGCTGTTGGCAGTGTCTTGCCCCTAGTATTCTCTTGATGTATCTTAGTGTGTATATGTGATACATTTTTCCTGAATTTGAATACATAAAATGTATTCAGTTATGGATGTAAATATATATATATATTTTTCTGCAATCTCTGTGCTCTTGCCTTCCATGATGTGTTACTGGAGTGATGGGACAGGGGGAAGTACTGAAATCACACTTTCTTGAAGGCAAGAAAATAAAACCAGTTTGTTTCTATGTAGCTGCATTAGGCAGGTGTAGAGTAACTGGAAAGTGAAAGGGACCAGGGGAATAACTATAGGACATGAGACCCCAGCACATGATGGTGTCTGTAGGACTTCAGTGCTCTGGGGGAAATGGTACAGGCTTGTTCAAACGGTGCTGTCTCAGGGCTGGTTTCCTGAGGCTCTAGGGTAATCTGGAGGAAGAGATTTAAAGTCTTTTGCCACCCAGGGATGGTGTAAAATGTTCTGTGCTAAATTGCAGCAGCTTCTGTTTGTGGAGAAGCAGGTGGAACACCATGGACACCCCACGCATGCGCCTTTCCCACCTGCTGCTGCTTCTGGATGTGCCACCCAGAAGGTAGGAGAGGAACAGTTAAGCCAGCTTGGTGCTACCTACAGCTCCCTGCCTACAGGACTCTTCACTGCACTTTAGTGATGGCATTTCCCTCTGCGTGGTGCTGTCCGGGTTGTGCTGTGGACTTTGCTCTCTTTATAGCCGCAGGGAATGGTGCCCTGTTGTCAGGTGGCTGTTGCTAACCTGCTGTGACAGGGCTGGGTGAGCCAGCAGACCTGCTACTGGAGCTGACTGTGCTTGGGAAGTGACACTTCTGTCCTGCTCTCATGCGGTGGGTTTAAAGACGGCTGAAGCTGTTGCAGGTCAGACTGGTGACTGAATGTTTTCCCTTAAATGTTTTTAAGTAAACTGGACTTAGCTTCAAGATTTTAATAATCTAAAACCTGTTCCCGTTAAGGCAGAACACCAGCAAATGTTGAGGACTATTTCACTGAAAATTATGCTGAGCACTTGGGAAGCAGAGAGCCTGGATTACTTCACTGAGGCTGCAGAGCCTGTGGCCATGAACAGAAGACATGGCTGTAGTGATAGCTAAGTTTTTGTGCAGGTAATTATGTGTGGAGGTGAGTAGTCACTAGTAGTGACAACTAGTCACTAAATCTGTCTGAAATCCTAAAAGTGGTGTCTAAAAGCCAAGGGTACCCAGCAGTGGGTGTTCTGAAGACTTGCAGAACTTCTTGTTTAGCTCTGTACCCAGCTGCTTTAGCTTTTAGAAGCTCTTCCTTGCTCCAGTGTTTGCGTTTGAAGAATTGTCTCACCACCATGTTGGTGGTGTTTGTAGCTTTGTTCTATGGCATAAAGGAGTTGCACTGCTGCTCCTATGGGGCCCTTGCTGTGGTGCTGCTTTCTGTTATTGTTCAAATACATATCCAGATACTTGTGATGTTTGACAGATAACATGAGTTGGAGGTGGGAGAGGCATTTCACTGGCACATACATTTTCCTCAAAGGTATCCACCTCTAAAATTAGTAATTAGCAATTGCATCCTTAGACTCAGTAACTACAGATATTAGACCAACTTGTCTTGCAATCCAAGCCTTGGAGAACCCTTCTATCCCAGAAAAGAAGTCATCAAGTTTTATGTCAAGCAGGTAGCTTGGTAATAAGGGATCACTTGGTGGGTCACTGGGGCAGGGAGAAGGGTAAGCTGATACCAGTGTTGCAGAGAGTGCATGTTTTGATCAAGTGGCAGAACAGACAGGAGATGTGGGAGACAGACACTGAAACCCATGTCTGTTCTCTTACGAATTTTATTTCTTTACTGTGGGCTTCCTTTGTGCTCCCAGGCCAACTGGGGAAGTACAGTCTGCCTCTGTCAGTGTTACTGTTGGTGGCACAATAGCTTCATTTCCCTGGGTAAATGATTTCAAGCACAGAAATTTCATATCATCTCATTCTAGCAATACTTAAATGCAGTAAACATTCTTGTGTCAAAACTGTGCTTCTCATTTAACCCTCAGGGATGCAAACACAATCCAAGGTACTATATCTTGATCTGCTCCCTAGTTCATTCTGCTGTAGATTCCAAAAAGCTAACTGATACTCTGGTCAAACCAGTTGCAAACCACTGCAGATGTTTTTGTACAGTGAAAAAAAAATGACCTTCTTCTGGCTAGAAAGTGTCCTTTGTCAGGCTAATCCCACACACAAGCTACTGTGGAAAAAATACCTCTTTCATAACTTGCACTTAAGAGTACCTGAAATGTAGTCTCTCAAGATTTTTCTGATATTGGCTGGCTTCCCTCCAGACATCAGTCTTCAGCTGCTGCCTAGTTCTGGTTTCAGAGTGTGACACTAATTCAAAACTACCTTGACATCAAAAGAGTGTTTTTCAGCTTTTTGAGTAACTCCTAATGAAGACTCAAGCTGTTTGAGAATTCATCGTGTTTTGAAGTGCAACATTGACAAACTGTAAGCATCCCGTCTATTTTTAAGGAGATTTTAGTATGCAAATTTGTAGTAAGTCTCAAAAAAAAATCCGATCCACTTGCTGACAACTTTCCTTTTATGGTCTTGGGAGAAATTCAGTTGTTTTTCAGCCAGCTCTGTAGGGAGTTGAACTCAGTGTTATTAATTCTCAAAGATACATGCATCAACAAATATTTTGTTGTGTGGATGCAGGAAAGCTCAATTTACTTCAGTAGAACTGCATTCCTTGCCAGAGAGGACCTTGGCCTGCAGTATTTGGGTTCCCTAATCTGGTTGGTAGCTGAAGGCTTGGAAGCTAATACATAAACATACCTTGTGGCCTGCTACATCCACCACTGTTCAGCAGTCTCTGCATTGTAGTGCTAGTGATGTGATGAATCTAAGAAGTAGAATTTACAAATAAATGAATACTTTCTTTTTCCCCCTACTTTAATGACAGTGAATATACAGTGGTTTTCTCTTAAAAGAAATAATGTATGGTGTGGTCTGAGAGATTTTTTTCCAAGGAAGGAAGGAGTTAGCAGCTGATCAAACACTTGCCAAATCAGTGGCTTGGCTTATATTGACTTGAGTGAAAATTGACTCAAATTTTAACTGAGCAGTTCCTGGATTGGTTCTGGTGTGAGTAGCAGTGATCACATTCTCATTGGGGCATTTGTTACTCAAGGAACATTGTCACGAAGGCATGACAGGGGATGTAACACAGCTGATTTTGAAGGGTATAGTTCAACAGTTGCTGGCATTTTGTTCCTTTGCAGCATCCTCAGGGTTGTTTTCTCAGTATTGTTCAATCCAAAATATTGATCCTAGGAGCAGTTTACTGTTGAAGCATGTGGCATGTGTGGGTTTCTTATTTAATGAAACTCCACATATGCCTTTAGAACTTGATAAGGAGGGCAGTCAGTGTTTGGCCCAGAGTCTTGTAATCCTGCCTAATGCACTGGGAGTTGCTTTGATGTAAAAGAATAATTTCTTCATGGGGCTCTTCCCCAGTATATCTTCTGTTGACATTTACACTCTTGGTCTTGTCCTGAGCCACTGTGCCAGCTGTCAGTGTCTGTGTGCCTTGGGGCAGCCACTTTGAGCAGATGGGAGGGACAAACACAATATTCTCGGCTTCAGTATGGTTTTAGCCACCGAGATGGAGAATTTTAGTCCTGTCTTTATACCAAGCCAGTCCTGTCCATGCCTTTTGTGTGGTCCTGAAGACAAGTTGTGTCCCATCTACACGACAGTGTTGTAGATGATTCTCATGGTATGCAAGCACGTAGGGTGAATGAGCCTGAAGTCCATCCACGTAAGGCAGCACTGGGATGTTCCTGTAAGTTTTGCCTTGATTCTGTGTAGCTACCCA